TCTAATAACTTACTAATATTATATGCTGTCTGGGTTAATACTTTTAATCTTAACAGTACTTTGCGTAAATATTTCATCACTTAGCAAAATATTATATATTAGTATTTAAATATTGACAAGGTTCTGCGTAAATATTTTATCACTGGACGAAGTATTACATATCAATATTTAAGTATTGAAATCAATCATAAGGTAGGATTTGTAACATTAAATATTGAAATACTTGAGTACTAAAAGCTGTATTTGAATCACAGAATATTACTAAATACTGTACTTTTAATACTGAAAATAAGTAATTAATCAATGATTCTTAGTATGATATTTCTATAAGGGTCTAGTGCCGTTTCAGACAGAAAAACAGAAAATCATGATATTCACGATGACATTATGAAATGATATCGGAATGACATTATGAAATGATATAGGAATAACTATAGACAATACTTACTTTTCGATCATTTTCTCATTCTGACTACTACCTATCGATTTCGATAGGATACTATCCGGATACTCGTTCTTTTCTTTTCGGTATTATCCGAATACCACTCGGGTATACTTGGATATGTGGTTAATCTCAGATATTATGCGACTGTTAATTTTGCTCGTGATGACAAAGAACGAATAAATACATTGCTGTCTTGTAAATATATATATAGTTACAAAATTGAAGGTACAGGGAGAAAAATAATTTGCTGGCCCAGCAAATTTTCTGCTAGTCTAGTAAAATATTTTATATTTTCGTTATTATGTGAAAAGCAAAAAGATTTGCTAAGAGTACTAATCACTTTTTGCTGGATATAATTTGTTGAATCTATAAATTATTTTGTTGTAAGAACCATGATGGATTTATATAAGTAGTTGCAGTTTTGCTCCGATAGCAAATAAATTTGCTAAGGATACATTACTTTGTATCGATAGCAAATTAATGGTTCTTAGGACAAATACACTCAACAATTTTTTTATTCTGGCAACGAAATTACTTCTGTTCTACCCAGTAAACACAACGTTACATGTAATATACATGTTAGTTGTAATTTCCTACTCAACAATGTAACTGTTATATAATATACGTATTATATAACAATTATATTGTTGAGTAGGAAATTACAACTAACATAGAGATGTCGCTTCCGTCCTACTATATTACATGTAACGTTGTGTTTGCTGGGTAAAACAGAAGTAATTTCGTTGCCAGAATAAAAAAATTTGTTGAGTGTATTTGTCCTAAGAATCATTAATTTGTTATCGATTTAAAATAATGTATCCTTAGCAAATTTATTTGTTATCGGAGTAAAACTATACAACTGCTTATATAAATCCACCATGGTTATTACAACAAAATAATTTATACGTTCAATAAATTATATGCCTTTTTTTTAATATTACATCGATAATCAATATAATATTTTGATAGTGATTACAATAAGAGAACCGTTTGCCTATAAAAAAGGCACTCCAACTGCTTTTTTGTGTAAGTTATTATAATTTTTTTTAACATTATTGTATTTCTCTAATTATTTTATTTTTTATTTAATAATATATGTATTATTACATGTGTAGTAGATTAACACTTTAATATATAATATATATATAAAAGCACATTTTGCATGTTTGGATCGTAATTAAATATACCAATAATATAAGTATGTTGGTTTTTTTTATTGATATTAATTGCTGTATAGGTATCATTAAAATAAGAGAACCGTTTGTCATAAAAAGGTACGCCAAGGATTTTTTGTGTAAGTTATTATATAATTTTTTTTAATATTATTGTATTTCTGTAATTATTTTATTTTTTATTTAACAATATATTACTAATATATTAATAACATATTTAATTTATAAATATATTATATAATCAAGACCACATATGTTTATAAAAAAAATTG